TCGTTTAAAACGATTGCAGACCGTTCTAAATTTGTAAACGATAAAATTAGCGATTGGAGCAAAGCAAAATGGTTAGAAAATACAATTTTAGTAAAAAAAAAAATCGCCCAAAATTTCTGAATATTTTTTAAAACTAAACATTTTTTTCATTAATGTTCACAAAGAAAATCGTACAAGAATCGGGAAAAGGCAGAAGTTTTAATGATTTTCAACTAATCCTAACGATTAATACTAAACTTTGGAGACTCTTCGTACGGTCCTAAGCAGAACGATAGAAAAGCCTCGAACGCTTGCAATTAATTTACTGAGGACGCGTATACAAATTCTAATCCAATTACAATGCCAGCTTAAATCAGAAAATCATATCGCATACGCTCAAATACGAGTTTAATTCTACCCGCTCGCAATGAATTCACATGTAGTTCAACTTAAAATTAAACTTTGTTTATTCTTATATGTTACTTTTGGTGTTTTAAATAAGCTCAAGATTAGTGATTCTTCCTTTTTCGGTAACATTCCACAATTCCTAATTTCCCAATTTTTAAAATTCACAATTTCTAAATTTTTAATATGATATCTACTTTTTTAACAAAACAAAAAATATCAGCTAATTGTTTTTCTACATTTGTTATATACATTTTCTAAAGTAAGTAAGTATAATTTTTTCTGATAAAATGATGTTTTACGTCGATTTTAGATCGCTTATAAAACTCGGGATTGTTTATCAGCTTAATAGCACTCTGATTATCAATGTACAGATTGGATATTATATATGTCATGTGTGTTTCTCGTTAACGCTTTTGCAACGTTTCTGCAAGATATATAGATTTAAAAATTCCAAAAAATATATAGCTTGTAAATATATACTGTACCATGGCATGGAAAGTCACTGGCATATGCAAAATGCATTTTTATTTAAAACAAATCGTACCAATTTCTCACGTTTTTTTATAGTAAAGTAATATTGTTGTGGCTTTTGTGTACCTTGTGGTTCTATTTATATTGTAGTGAATGTATAAACGTATCAAGCATTTAGACATACATTCACAATATAATCCGGATGTGTAAACGTACGTATACATCCGCTTAATGCGTATATAGTTCATCCGCAATACAAATAAAGCCACAATTCATAGATAACAAAATAATTGCAATGTGGTAACACGATCTCACCCATCAAAAGATAAATTCTCATAGTCGACCATTGCATAGCAAAATACCGACAAAGAAATTCTTGTAATGTTCAGTATTAACAAGTCTGGCATAGAATTGATTCTGTTCGAGGCCTCCAAGTATACTGACATTCTGTTAAACTGATTAAAAATATCTTTGCAGTTTTCAAACTCATCATCTATCATAAATCTAGAATCTGCGAAGATATTTTGTATGCCCTGTACCGATTGTTCCGCGCACTGTCCTTGCTTTCCTATTTAATCAATTGCACTGATATACAAGCAATGTAATGATAGCAATGTAATGATGAAGCAATTAACAGGATTATTAACGCTCTGACATTTCTGTGAGATATATAAATTTAAAAAATCCGAAAAATACTGCTTGCAAATACGTACTGTACTATGACATGAAAACACTAGCATATGCAAAATGCATTTTTAGTAAAAAATTGTTTTAGTGAAAAATTTTTCAATTTTTTTAAAAGTCATAACATCCTTTTCATTAAAATTCATAAATAAAATCATAAAAGGTTGAAAAAAAGAGACATTTTAGCGACTAAAATTTTTTTTCATGACCATGTTCTATTCCATTCGTTTTAATTTTATCATTTTCGAATTCAGCGATCAATTTTATATGGAAATACACAATTCACAATTCGCAAAAATTTATCTTGTACCGCTGTTGAAATGACCTCCTCTAAACTTCAAATGTGCATAAAAAACTCAAATAATTTGATCTCATGGAATAAAATGCACTTTTATGCTAAATTGCCTTTATTTTCGCAAACATATCAACTTTTTTGTATATAAAAAAAATTCTTTTTATAAAATATAAAATAAGAAGCAACTTCTGCAGATAAATTAAATTAAATGTGTTAGCAAATTTTAATAATTATAATATATTAACGCGAAAAATTTAATTCAATGATAAAAACCAAAAAGAAAAAATTCCGACCATGTGAGAACATAAGTGGATTTATTAACGGTTTTGTTTCAAAAAGATCTATTCAAAGAAGATCTGAGATGAAACACGAGAACGATTGTATCGCGCGCTCTCAGCGAGATAGTAGAAAAGAAAAGCTAAGAGCAGTTTTCTTTCTAGCCTGTTAACAGCGAAATAAAATCCTAAATAGCCGTTGGTTGAAAAAAAAGCACGTGAAAAAGAGCTGAAAGCATTTTTCTTTTCAGAACTACTCGGATAAAGAACGTTCACCCGTGCAAAATGAAAAGTGGCAACGTGATATCTGTTACTTTCTTAAATGCGAAAAAGCCTAGCGCATCTTGAGCAGAATAAATTAAAATGCACGAACGTAATTGTGTGCCGTTCTTGGAAAGAAAGATAAGCGAGATTACCAGCTCTACTTACTGTCGCCTCAGTACCATCCTGATGGCGTCTGAAATAATGTAAAAGTAACGTAAAACGTAAAACACGAAGATGAAGGACGCCTGAAATGACCGGCAAACTTATTCG